ATTTACGTCGATTTAGAGTTGACACACCGTAACAAATTATACATGATAATTTACCGGTATGTCTTTCATTTTATTATATATGCATTATAACTTTGTAATATTGAATAACTAGCCCAAAAAGGTATCCGTGAGTCGGACAGCTCCGGTGGCCTAGTGGTTAGAGAATCCGCTTCGGATGCGGGAGGTCGCGGGTTTGAACATACCTAGGGTGTATGCTATAGTACAGAACTTAACGGACTGATAAATAAGCAATTTTCCAGTGTCGGTTCATGTTTGCACAAATACCTTTTATTCAAATACACCTATAATGGCTTCCTTCTTCTACAGTTATACTTTCAATGTTAAACTTACTAAGTATCGTTTTTCGTCCAATTGTCCCCTACGTTTTTGGTCTCTGCTCGTTTCTCCGATCCATCCATTGAAGATTTTTCACACTTTTTTTGAGTCAGGTTCAGAAAAGTAAATATATGTTTCATAATCAGTCACAATCTCAATCAAACACTCTGATATTGTATTTTTGGCGAGCATTTTTTTTTCTCGATTTTAATTCCAGTCTGTAAGGATCAGTCTTGTACAAACCTTTCATAACTTCACATGATTATTCAGTATAGGTTATTTAGTACGCTAAAAGCACCTGATATTCTTCCAGAATGTGGGTCATCTCACTTAGATTCACGACTGTACTTTTAGCGATGAAACGACCTCAAATATGTACAATATGACGTAAAATTTTATCCCTAAAATCTAATCAAGTTCGTCTGGATATCAGTCAGAGTACAATCACGGCGTCTAGAATTTACAGTATGCTCTTTCCACAGTAGCAGAGTTATTCTCTTTTTCTGATATTTCTTGTACATCATTGTAATAGAGGAGTGTGTCTGAGAGTCTAAAATAGTTTATCGTCGTATTGAAGGAAAGTACATATTAATATAATTACGTTAACCACATCTGCAAAGTGACGTCTTAAATCAGTGAGCCAGGAACAGTAAATATAACAAAACCTTTTGGGATCAATCTTTGATGCAAAGACAAATTAATTTATCCGTGTCTCCAACAGAAAATAAGTTGTAGAAAATATGGGTTAGAATGCGTTTACCGTTCGGAAATAGGATAAGGAAACGCGGTACTACAGTTATGTTCTTTCTTTAGTCCAAACGTGATTTTCACTGGAAAAGCGAATAGCCATATCTCTTATTGGTTGTTGATGACTGGCAAGATTAAATCATTACCAAATAATAAAAGTGAATTTACATATAAGCGTCTTACACAGTGAGGGAGCTATATGTCATTGTAACTATAACGAAATCCTGCTAAGAAAAAAAAATAGTAATCAATAATTTTTTTGATCGAAATTCCAGCAAAATCTTGCATCATTAAATCATGATTAGATTAATGGAGATATAAAAAGAGGAAAAATAACTGTTTACAAAGTTTGAGAAATTAGTTTTACAATATTTAGTAAATGTGTTACGGTTGAACTCTTATTGCCATTAACAATGTTCTGTGCAAAACGTGTATTTAACCAATGAGAACTGAGTTGTGACAGGCTAAATGGAAGTAATGTGACTGTGCTCTAATTACCACGGCAAAAAAGTAATTATAATTGATTACTTCAGTGTGATAGTCATCGTAATTGCTATCAACTACTACAATGTTTAATACGAATTGTGATTTGAATTCATTACCTTCACAGCTGTAATCTATGTATCATACACGAGAGTTGGTAAAGAATTCGTTTGCAAGTGTCTTCATGATATTACGTACTTTTGTAAGGTACATAAACTTCACAGTTATGAAGATAAGCACTGTACTAAATTCAGATTTCAATACTGGTTATATAGGCACTACACTAAAATCAGATTTCACTATTGTGAATATAGGCACTGCACTAAAATCAGATTTCACTATTGTGAATATAGACACTGCACTAAAATCAGATTTCACTATTGTGAATATAGGCACTGCACTAAAACCAGATTTCACTATTGTGAATATAGACACTACACTAAAATCAGATTTCATTATTGTGAATATAGGCACTGCAATAAAATCAGATTTCACTATTGTGAATATAGGCAACACTAAAATCAGATTTCACTATTGTGAATATAGACACTACACTAAAATCAGATTTCACTATTGTGAATATAGACACTGCACTAAAATCAGATTTCACTATTGTGAATATAGGCACTGCACTAAAATCAGATTTCACTATTGTGAATATAGGCACTGCACTAAAATCAGATTTCACTATTGTGAATATAGACACTGCACTAAAATCAGATTTCACTATTGTGAATATAGGCACTGCACTAAAATCAGATTTCACTATTGTGAATATAGACACAACACTAAAATCAGATTTCACTATTGTGAATATAGACACTGCACTAAAATCAGATTTCACTATTGTGAATATAGACACTACACTAAAATCAGATTTCACTATTGTGAATATAGACACTACACTAAAATCAGATTTCACTATTGTGAATATAGACACTACACTAAAATCAGATTTCACTATTGTGAATATAGACACTACACTAAAATCAGATTTCACTATTGTGAATATAGACACTACACTAAAATCAGATTTCACTATTGTGAATATAGACACTACACTAAAATCAGATTTCACTATTGTGAATATAGACACTACACTAAAATCAGATTTCACTATTGTGAATATAGACACTACACTAAAATTAGTTTTCATATGTCATAAGGTCATATGTCATAAGGTTATAAGGTGGAAGCGTTTCAAACAAGAGATCTCGCTGAATACCAAGTACCTTCTCAGCATGGAAAAACTGGGTCTTCCAAGCCAAAATAGGCTTTTAGAAATGCAGTCAGGACCATATGCCTGTAAACAAACAGTGTATATAGATACACTGTTTAACAATCCTGAGATTGTGAAAAATAATAGAAACACGTGACATAAAAGTATTATACCTCAATTATGATTGTATATTCATCTAGATCGTTAATATTTTTGTTTAAGGTAATTATGTTTATAAAAAACAGTATTCCATGATGGAGAAAGTCCTGTGCAATTACCGTCACTCCTTGTATGAATCATTTATTTTCTATATTTGTAAGTAAATTAAGAAAAATATAAATACAACGAGATTTCGCTCACATGAAATTCTGATAAATAATTACAAACTTTTACTAAGCCTTTGCAGAAAATATTTAAACTGGTTAAATTATAGTTTGTGACTTTGTAACAAACATTTATACCGATTACATTATAGTGTGTGACTACGCATCAGGTATTTAGACTGGTTACATTATAGTGTGTGACTTTGCATCAAGTATTTAGACTGGTTACATTACAGTGTGTAATACAGAAAAGTTTAAGTTATTAGTTTAATGTTACCAGATAGGAACTATTTATATATTCATGTTTTTCTCCCTATCTCTAAACAATCGTTAAAATATAATTATGTTATTATGTTTGGAATATTGTTGTCATTGTATAAATATTTGTAATTATAATAATTTAATTGATATTTAAAAGAATTTACAAATTCATTTAGCTTGAAATCTATTACACTATATGCATTAACAACATATGCTTCGCTTCTGCTGTTCATACAGTGTGTAATCAATTATCAAACTTCGTAACTTTATGAATCCTGTAAAATTCGAAGTAAAATTCTCAATAAGATTTTATTGATCGGTTCATTTGATCAAATCTACCACGCATCACAGAAAAGCTTTAATCTTGGCCATAAGCAAACCTAGACTTTATTTCACACCAATTTATCATTCACAAAAACATTTGTTTTACATTATTTGATACCTTTTACAGTTAATCTTACTAGTAATATTATTGATTTGACTGCTACCAGAGGAATTTGTACACATAAGGAGCTCCTCGCACAAGAAATAGCGCAGCAGTCTTAAAAATATGATTCGAACAAAACTGTGTCCTTGGTATACAATCACAATACGGAACACCATCAACATTTGCTCCCAAGATATATAATATGTAAAAGACTTCATAATAAGGAAAACCCCTTGGTTGCTTTGCATGAAACTTTAAAGAAACTGATACAACTTATTTGTCTTCCAAACTTGAGACGAAATAAAAATGTTGGAGTGTGTTGAAATTTGTGTAAGTTTGATGCATTTCATAATAATTTTCGGTTTGAGGTATTAAATGTAATGGAGTTCCTTAAACAACTGACATACAATAAACACCTCACTCTTACACACTTACATATGCATGTGCATTAAAAGTAGTTCCAGACTTCCAAATTATATTGTTCTTCAGGAAATGATTGAAGTTATAAACAGATAACTGGCTACACAACAAATATCTTGAAACCCTTTTATAAGTATAGCTATGATAATATTGTTTGGAATTGGCTCAGTTTTCAAGAAAGAATATCTTTATTTTGAATCTTTTGGAAATAATAGTTATGTAAAATATTACTCTTTAATGAAATAAAGATTGATTTGTATAATCAATTATGGTGGGTAGAAATAGGTGAATATCAATTCTGAGCAGTGGTGCCACTGGGAGGGGGTGCGTGCGAGGGTGGGAGTGCGGACCGAACCGGGTGACACCATCAGAAGGGGTTACACTAAAATGACGGTCTATAAAATTTGTGATTCTTTTGTCTAGGAAGAAGGTCCATTGGGGTGACTCAATGAGTTACCGCACATGACTGTCTATAAAAATTTCGAATTTTTGTGCAGGAAGGGAGTCCATGGGGGTGACACCTTGAGTTACTGCATTGGTGACACCAATCCTACGGACCCCGCTGATTCTGAGATAAGGTTTCCTATTCATGTGCATAATTTTTATCATGTTTCGTTGTTGGTCAGACATTTCAAAATAATGAGACTTTTGGTTTAGCCTTTTCAGTAACAAAACGAACATCACATTTCAAAATCTAAATTGAATTTCAGGTAACCCAACTCAAATTTGTCTTGCATGAATTTTTATGAAATCATTTTATTCCTTATTAACAAATTATGTAACCGCCCCGGTAGCCTAGTGGTTAGAGCGTCTGCCTCGAATGCGGGAGGTCGTGGGTTCTATCCCCGGTCGAATCATACTAATGACTACAAAATGGTACTAACAGCTGCCTCGCTTAACGCTCAGCATTAAGAGGTTAGTGTTTGAACTGGTCAGCCTGGTGTCAGGTTAATGTGACTGGGTGGAACATCATTATACATGTCCGCATCATGATGCCCCAGTGTTAGACATCACTATAAACTGCTACACTGGAGACATCGTAGCGATATGACTGAAAAATTGCTAAAGCTACGATAAAAATCATAATCACATCACATTACAAATTATATGACTATTCTTTGTGAAGTTTACTAACCTTTTTTACTTATTGTACCTTTAACGAAAATTTAAACAAAGAATATTCACATCTTGTTCTTGCGAGATTATGACGGCCCGTCTATCCATATTATATGGAATTAATTATAGAGTTGTAATCTGCTTCCCTGCCGTCTTCACTCTGTAAAGAAATGAAGAAACCAGAGCACCAGACTACAGTCTTTGCTCAATTAAAATACGAGTCAACTGCAATCTGCAGAAACCCTGATCCGCCGTCGTATATTGCCCAGGCAGATCTGGGTATTTGCAGTTAATTAGGAGTAAACAGTAGAACAAACAGCAACTGCAGGTGCATTATACCACAGTAGGTTATAATCTTTGTTGTTTATAGTTTGACTGGACTTTTGTGCGAGTATACGATACTCACACATTGGTATTGTAATAAACTTAAGGTGATGCTCATTTTGTTGTAGCGTTCCGTTGAAGCAATTCTTAGGTATGTGTGATTACTTGTTTGATTATTGGAATTCGGCGCAGTGAGAAATATTCCTTAGCCCGAAATAATTAGCCAATTACTAGGAGCAAACGTTAAGGAGTAGAAGTGTTTGTGAGTTTCCATGATGACATGGTCAATGAGTAGAGAATTTAGACTCAATCTGCATAAGTGACCCTGGAATGATGAATTCCTTAATAAAATCTAGTGGTGTACGTTGGTATTGTGACTGCAGTGGCAGTATTTACGGTAGGAAACCGGTAAATTACAAATAAATGAGAAGGGACTCGGCATATACCGTTTATGTTGCCATGGTGGAAAAAGTCATGTAGTTATACTGTCGTGATTTGCCTCGACACGGTATATTGAATTGCCTAAGGTGGCGTAGTTAAAATAGTCCCTCGTGTTAGGGATAGTTGTAGAGTTTTTACAGTGTGAACTGCTAACGGTGCAGAAAGTTAATGTAGAGAAACTATGAGGATTTGGGGCTGATGGATAATTGGCAAGTTGTGAACAATGTGGTCTTATATTGATTAGAGTAAAATTTATGTATAGAATAGACACGTCGGGCTTTCCAACTTACAACTGAAGTTGTATAGAAGTCTTTGGAAATTTTGGGTAAATTGTGACGTCTAGCGTTAATCGCGCCAGGGTTTTGACACCGCTCGGTCAAGCAAAGACCCCTGGCTTGTAACAGTATATACTGGGTATTCACACAACCATGGCAGTTATTACAACAGTGAAATTGCCTGTTACTTAGTGACAGTCAGGGATGTAATTAATTAAAGTTCCTATTTGGACGATGCTTTGGAAAAGAAACAAAACCATGTTACTATACGGCTGTGTGAGAACGTTAAACCAAAATATCCCACTCAGTGGACCATAAAGGAATCCTCAAACAAGCAAGACAGGACGACCGTTCGTGATCATCCAGCGTGGTCTTCTCACCATGCATACCGAGCTAACATGTGAATGCATTCGCTTGCAAATCTTTTCTAAACCGGAAGCCAGTATGTAACTTAAGTTTACTGCACTATATAATGGTGAAATATAAGGTTCTAATGTCGCCATAAATCGCCTTTTGTTCAATTTTTCAGAGCATTTTCCCGTTTGTTGACTGACGACCAATTATACAGACTAAAATGAAGCTTTTTGGGTTTTCCTCTGGATTATACAGTTGTGCTATATGGGCGTAATTTGTATTGCCTCGTAATCTTTCGTTATATATTCATTGTTTCTACATACAAATATGCTTACTCTTTACGTGTGTGTAACACCCATGACTCTTCCTATTTCTTCTCTGAAAATTGAAAGCTCTGAGACTACCTGGCTAAGAAAACTCTCAAATGTACCGAATACAAATTTTAAAAAGATGTTTGTCTTTTCAATCCATATTGCTCTACAATTCGCTGATAATACCTTAGCCGCCTTAATATTCACATGAAAGATGTAGTCATTCGAAGATTTGATTGGTTAAAATTCAGTCATTCAAATTTTTTATTGGTTAAAATTCAGTCATTCGAAGATATGATTAGTTGGTATTGTTTAACGCTATTTTCAGCACATGATAGGCTATAGAAGGTGGCTGGTATGTTTGGTGGAGGTAGAACACTGGAAAACTCCGATAAGAACCATCCACCTAGGGGAATCTAATGACAAGCATTCTCACATAATTGACCACTCCTGTGGCTTAGTGGTTAGAGCGTGAGCCTCGGATACAGGATGTAGCTAGTTCGAAACCCGTTCGGGTCATACTAAATACCATAGACTTATTTTTGAAAAATGGAACTAACAGCTGCCTCAATATGCGCTCAGCATTAAAGAGATTAGTGTTAGGACTGGTCAGTATGGTGTCAGGATAATGTGACTGGTTGGGACATCATGCTATATGTCTTCGGCATATGCCTCATGATTCCTCAGTGTTAGACATCAATATAAATTGACACATTTCAGACATCGTAACTATATGACTGATCGATTGTTAAAGCTACTATAAATTCAAATCTCTCTCTCTCACACACACACACACACACACACACACACACAAACACATAATCGCCTTGACAGAGGATAGATATTAGTGATTTAGTAAAGGTCAGTGCCTTCAACCACATGGTCACTCAGGGACTTCGCGAACATCTGGTGCATGACATAAAAATAAAATATTTGCATCGCAAGACATTAAATCGCAATTTTATCGACTACCGAATCGTTTATAAATCCGCATCGCAAAATACCTTAAAGCGGACTAATTAATGTGCATGTCTAATGCACAGCAATGAAACGATTTGGAAAGTTGCACAAAAGCCTGAACACCGAGCAAAATCGTTATGCTACTTCAGCCAGAGAAAGTACTAAATAAAAGATAATGCTACCAGAACCCGCACTGTTTTTTTGAAAAGAATTTATTGTAATGGATCAAGATAAGTCATATTTTAAACTGACATTTTTCAAATGGAATTTAGTGACATATAGCATAAAAGGTTTGTATGAATCAAATAATGGAATAGATGCACGCTATGGCATAAATCAGCTTTTATTGACGATTTATGGTTGAAGGATTGCTCAATAATTTAGATTAACAAATCCTAGAGGATAATAAACTAACGTGTCAGTATTTTTTCCAACTACTGTATTATCAAATTATCAAACTTTCATGCCCTACAACACACTATGCATGATCGTTGCATGATATTTGGGTTTATTTACGCGCGATTGCACAAGATTTGGATTTATTGCGCGTGATTGCATCATCGGTCCAGCTAATGGACCGTTATCAGCTGTTGAAACCTTAGATCAAGATCTTTAAAAGTTTATTTTGTATGATATAACACGTACTACGAAACCATATAAGGTCCTTAGATTCTAAATGACTTAAAGTAATTAAGATTTAATAGTATATTAATAGGCTTAATGTCAAAGAAGCGTAAATATATGCTACTGATAAATGGTAGTGACTTATCAGACGATTAGTCCTAGTGTCCGTATTAAATTCATTCCTTGTGTTGATCGAACTATCGGTATATATATATATATATATATATATATATATATATATATATATATATATATATATATATATATATATATATATATATATATATATATATTAACTGTATTGACTTATAATCACCTTTCTTGAATTGATCTACCATTATCTTTCTATCTGTCTTATATTGAATCTATTAGCTTTCTTGCATTGATCTATCATCATCGTTCTTGTATTGATCTATTATGAGCTTTCTTCAATCGACCCATCGTGGCCTTTCTATACTGACATATCATGACTGACCTTTCTTGTATTGATCTATCATCGCCTTTACTGCACTGACCTATAATTTGCCTTACCGAGATATCACCACCTTTCTTGTATTGATCTATCATCGCCTTTACTGTATTGACCTATCATTTACCTTACGGATATATCATATCCTTTCTTGTATTGATCTATCATAGCCTTTACTGTACTGACCTGTTGTAATAAAATTAAGGAGATGGGCATTTGGTTGTAGCGCTCCGTTTAAAAAATTCTTAGGTTTGTGATTACTTGTTTGATTTTTTTGTAATTCGGTGCAATGGGAAATATTCCTTAGCCCGAAACAATTAGTCAATTATTAGGAGCAAACGTTACGGAGAGAAAGTGTTAGTGAGTTTCCAAGATGCCAGTGTCAACGAGTAGCGAATTCAGATGCAATCCGCACGAATGAGCCTGGAATGATTAGGTCCTTAATGAAATCTAGTGATGTACATTGGTGTTGTGACTGCAGCGGCAGTATTTATGGTAGGAAACCGATAGATTATACAATGTAATAAATGAGAAAGGGCTCGGCAGATACCGTTTATGTCGCCATAGTGGCAAATGTGATGTAGCTTTACTGGTGTGATGTGCTTTGAAACCGTAGATCGACTGGCTTCAGGTGGCGCAGTTAAAATAGTCCCCCGTGTTAGGGATAGTTGTAGAGTTTCTACGGTGTGAACTACTGGCGAAACGGAAAGTTAATGTAGAGAAACTATGCTGGTGTGCGGTTGATGGTTATTTGGCAAGTTGTAAATAATGTGGTCTTACATGGATTAGAGTAAAATTTTGTTATAGAATAGACACGTCGGGCTTTCCAACTTACAACTGAAGTTGAATAGAAGTCTTTGGAAATTTGAGGTAAATTTATGACTTCTAGCGGGAATCGCGCCAGGGTTTTGACATCGCTCGGTCAAGCAAAAGACCCTTGCCTTGTAACACTATAATTTGCCTTACGGACATATCATCACTTT